GGAAGCAGGAGTGAAAGTCTGTGCAATCGCATGGTTATGATAGAAACTGAGCGCGGGAAAAAGAAAAAGAGCGTAGATCGGAGAGAAGCTGGATGAAAGAGTCGCATCAAAGTATACTCTTGTATGATGTGAAATAAGAGGACTGCAGACTGTGGACTGTAGACTATTCAGTTCGCGAAGATATTTCCTTTTTTCATATGAATTGGTGACTTTTCGTTCCGTCGTTGAAAAGAAGCGTGTTCGTTTCAGAATCGTCGAGCAAAAAGTCGGAGAACCTGGCTAAAAAATTCCTCTTGATTTCTTTCTTCCCTCTGTCCGGAAAGACTTCAATTGCAAATAATGTAGCAATCACTGATTGCAATTTGGCAATGGCAAAAGTACGAGAGTCCCTCGATTCGTAGGAAATTCTATCTTAAAAAATTCACGAATGAAATTATAATTAGAAGTTTTCCGCGCACGCTGTCTTTCCCGAGACGATTCATTTGCAAACGTGATCGCGTTTCTCAGGAAACGATCGAGATATAATAATAACGTAATAAGACAATATCGAGATTATTTTATTCGTCGACAAGCGTTGTTCATGTACGTGCCATTTAACATCCGTTTGTAGCTTTCTTTGCGCATCGATCTGCTCATAAAATTAAACTCGTGCGTCATTCGCGATGGACGCTTTTAAAATTCATCAACATTTAGGCCCTGCTTTTTTTTTTCGAGTGGTGCCGGTGGTTGAAATTTTATGCGCGTTTAAAATCGCTTTTCTGTCCGATATTTTCGTCGGCGTTACACCTCGACAGGCCTAAACAGAGTAAATGATAAAAATGGAGAGGCAGAGAGTGAAATCTTATCGAAGGTACACGCGTTAAGGTTAAAGAAGAGTGATGCCTAACTGTGATTCAGCGGTGCGTTTCACTTCTCTCGGTCGACAAAGCGGGAGAAAACGATGAGGCACCGAGTTGTTTCGAAGGACAATCGAACGGGGTCAAAAGTCCTCCTGTTGCTACGTGAAACGAACGAAGCCATGGAAACGAGCTCGTCGCGCAAGCGCTTCGCCCTTCCGTCGCTTTCCCCCCTTTTTTCCTCGATTTCCGGCTTCTCCGGTTTCTGTCTCTCTTCTTCCCTCCCCTCCCCCTTCTCCACCCCCCTCTCGCCGTGCAGATATGCGAGTTTTTCCATTTTTTTGAATCACATCGACCGACGAATCGACGTGTATCGACGTGTATCTCGTTTTCCAAAACGCAACGGAAAAAGAATTGTTCCTTGTTTCTGATTTCCGGCGATGTCGCGGAAACCTCGCTCTCTCGCCGATTCACATTCTCGAAGCTAGGCGCGTTCAAACGTTATTCGACCAGGTACTTCGACCTTCCCTCCTCTGATTTGTATTCGATTCGTCTCTGGAGAACGCCTTGCACATTCTTATCGTCGAGAGAACATTTAACTTCCGTATATATGCTGTTGATGAGCGGGATATATATCGTTTCGCTATGCGACGAAGGTACGACAACCTTTCGATAATTTCGATTTTAATCGTCCACGATTATGGCCCTCGTCAGCGACGTCCAAAACGGTCAGGGGAAAGTGAAACTTTTCTACGTTCGTCACCCGATGCCGGGCCCGATGATCGTTCCGTGGCCTCTGGCCTTAATTGAATGATTTCGATCCGAACGACCTCGAACCCTCCCTCGCCCGTTCCATTTACACGACCGATCCGAATGCACTTTGACTCTGA